CTTTGCTGCTGCTCCAGAGTTCATCGAAAGAGCATCTCAGGAGACCTTATCGTCAGAGAACAATAGGGGCCCACAACTTCCAACTGGAGGACCTACGTATCGAGAGAACAGAAGATTTGCCTTTGATCGGACTGAAAACCAACCACTTCGACCACTTCGCCCAGAGTTTCGCCGCGGCCCAGCGTCAAATGCTGGGGCCAACTTCAATAAAACTCGTGGAGGTCAAGCTCAAAATCGTCGGAAGTTCATACGCAGGTTGGAGTCGGACGACCAAAGTGATCAGGATAAGTCCATGAGAGGTGATTTTTCTTCTCTTCTGCCCGGAGAAGCATGTGAATATTCGATCAAATTCCTTTAGAACGCCTAATGAATCAGCTGGAAAGCAATCGATACGAGTGTGCTATTTGCTGCCAAATTATTCTTGCCAGACAGGTAAGATTTCCTTCCCTTATTTTGGATTGATTCAAATCTTTTCTGATACGTTTGTTTGAACTTTGATAGTTTTGAAACGATCTCTCTCTATTCCGAAAAGAAACGGCTGTGCTATCCTAAGCTCATTGTTCAGTGCTAAGCAAGTAGAAGTGAGATGATGGGTTGAGGCCAGGGTCAACCGTCACGTTCGAACATTTTCGGGATTTTTGCGACCCCCTAGCTCTCGAGGGGGTCCAGTTGCGACCCCCTGTTTTTGTTAATAAGAGTGCTAGACATGAATCCGTTGCGCCAGAAAGCGTCTGCGCGTCGTCGCGTCGGCCTTGGAGCGCGGCAGGTATCACCCGGGCGCTGGAAGAACGGGACGCGGCGAAGAAAAAATTTTAGAGGGGAATAACTTTCTTGGGACGTACTTTTTTGACTTGTTGAGGTAGATTTTGATTGTGCCTGAGGTGCGCTTTCAGAAAACTACAAGGATTGCCTAACTCTCCGGAAAGTACTTCTGTTAGAAGTGGAAAACCCAAAATTCTAAGAAGGCGCACCTTCAACTTTGAAGGCCCATAAAATCTTTCGTATGCGACATTTTGGAAATCTGTAAAAAGTTTCAGAAACTTCAAATATTTCTCTAACAAAATAGTATAAAAAGTTTAGTGATTGTCCCCTTTTTCAAAAAATTGTCCCGTTCGAACATTTTTCGTGCAAAAGCGAGTTTTTGGGCTTCAGCGACCATAACTCACTTCATTTTCATTTCTGTGATGCACTTTTTTCATGGGTGAAAGTACAGGATTTGCTCTTTCTGCCAACCGTTTTTCAAAATCCATTTTCCGAGAAAATCACACGTTCGAACATTTTGTTCCCATAGGTTTTTGAGCAGCACATGCGAGTTTTTGAGCTTTCAGCAATAATAACTTCCTTCAAAGAACTTGTTGGGGAGGGCGAAGACATTTTTGAAGACTACGAGATTTCTGCTTTCTTATGTGTTTTACCGTTGTCTGGAAGAATCGTCCTCAGAAAATTAGGTCCCGAAGAACTTTAATTTCAGCCCCGAGAAGTCAAACCTTTCATAGGGATGCATTCAACTGTTCTTATTCCTCAAGGAAAACACCGTAATTTGCCTAAAACTGTCTCTCTGTGCATAATTAATCGAATCTAATGCGGTCTGCACAAACAATTCTTGCCCTCGGATACGCCACGCACGCGCCTGTGGCTGGCAGTCCTCGAAATTGCGATCCCCTCCCCCCCTTCCAGACCAAAAATGCGCCCTGCCTTCGAACAGTTCGGACGAGGTTGACCCTGTAGCGTCCCCGTCAAAATCCGTTTTCCACCACTTGTTTTTCAACCATCCCCAGTTTCTTTGCCGGAAAAGCTTTGTTTTGGAAAATCCTTAAGTCCACTGTTTTGTACGTCAGCCGGAAGGTACCAGCCGAGAGCCGAAAGTGTCACTCCTCTTCGCTGAGAGCCGGGAAGGGTCAATATTCATTTGCAGCCCATAGATTTAGTCGGGAACATTTTATAATGAAGTGGGTCAATTAGTGTATTTTATGTTATTAAAATTCATTTCAGGGTATCTGGTCTTGCAAGACATGTTACCATATGTTCCACATTTCTGGTGGTTGTATAATCAACTGGGCAAAGAAGAGCAAGGAGGATGATAACAAGTGAATATTTCTGTTTGATTTTGACAACTATTTCTATGGCCTGTGCTCCTTTTCATGCTTGTGTTTTCATACATTACTTTTGAGAGGATATCTTTTTTTTATTTGCAGATGGAGGTGCCCCACTTGTCAAACAAAGTATGAAACAATTCCATACAATTATTTCTGTTTCTGTGGTAAGCAGCGTAATCCGAATGCTCCTATGTAGGTGTCCACTTTTATCTTCTACGTTTTACTGTAATATTTAAAAACTTAGAAATAGCTACGATTTACAGGGGTGAAGTACCTCATTCTTGTGGCAATGTCTGTGGTGGTCAACGAGCCTCCAGGTTGCCCACATCGTTGTAATGAACCTTGCCATCCGGGACCATGTCCAGAGTGTCCTGTAATGCTCACCCGACGATGTAACTGTGGTAATGTACAGAAAGCTATTCGCTGTGGTTCAGTAGCCGAAGTAAAGGTAGGTTTACTGAGCAGATCCATTTGACAAATTCTGCTTTTAGTGAAGTCGCCGGTAATTTCAGTGTGACAAGGTCTGCGACCGATTGCTGGCCTGTGGTGATCACCGTTGTATGCGAGTTTGCCACGAAGGAGACTGTGGGCCGTGTGAAGTATTGATTAACCAAAGTATGGTCCAAAGCTCTCAAAGACCAAGTATTCAGTGCTTAACAGTTTTCTTTTCAAGGCTGTTTTTGTGGGTCGTCATCACGTGATGTTTTGTGTTCGAAGAAAGGTGATTTCGACAAGTACTCGTGTGGTGCTCCATGTAATGGAATGTACTCTTGTGGCATTCATCAGTGTATGAGGAGGTACGGTATTAATCTTTTGCCGACTAGGTTTTCCCTTAGAAGGTGCTTGGTGAGCAGCTTTTTGCTAGTTGAATTCATTATTCTTTTTTGAAGTAATGAGCAGATGAAGACAAGTTCAGCATTTTTTATTAGCTCTCCTAATTGTTTTTC